TGAAGTCTCACTACCCAGTGCTGTCCTATTTCACCTGCCTTCTCACTTGAGATGTCAACCTTTCAAGATTTATCATTACTCCTAAAAGAGTCTTGATGAAAAAGCATTCAGAGACCTTTAATAATGTATGCGTTTTCTCATTTGCTTTGAACATTTTTTTTAAGAATAATATTGCAGGTGCGGATTAAATGTTATTTCTAGTCAGGGTCAAGAATCATGCTCTCAGGTAGAAAAGCCTCTATTGAGTTCCCAAAGGCCTGGCAGTGCAAGATACCATGAGAGTGAACACGTGACAGTTGCAAACATGAACAGGAATAGTCTTGTTGTCTTTTTGAGTCATTCATTAAGATTATGGCTGATCTCCTAACTCTACTCCATATTTCTGACTGCTCCCAAATTCTTGACATTCCCTGTGAGATATGTGGACAGGGTGAATTCATTGGGCAATTAATGGCAGTGGGGATGGGCAGTTGAATGCCATGTAATGGAATAACCCAAAATACATTCAAGTAAAGTTGGTAAAACTAAGTGCAATCTTTAAAGGATATTATACCAGTAGCCCTGGATCTCTCCACCCCTTCATTCTTAGCGTCAGGGTGTATTTTCTTTCATTGTTCATTTCCCTACACTGAGCTGTATATGCATTTGGATATAAACTAAGGTTTCATACAACACCAGTGTTTATAAGGACCCCAGAAATCAGTTGCCCAATTAGCAACATGATTCCGTTCAGGGCTTTTCACATCTCATTGTTATAACCTCAACAGAAATCCCACTAGGTGCACATCAGGAAAGATCGCAGTCACCACCAGCAATCTGCAGATTATCTGAATGCTGCACACATCAGTAAAGACAGTACTGAACACTTACCCTGTCTCTTGTTAACATTTGGGCCCTGTTCTTATGTTGTATTTTGATAACTCCTGGAGGCTGGATCCAGGCTTCACCATCCACCTGAACTGGCACCCCTTCATCTCCGCTAATAGTAATCTTCACCATACGACACTGCAATAATACAAGGCATGAAATTCAAAACAAGATTTCATTTTCACAAGTGATAAAGGAAAACATAATTCATTCAACACAGAAGGATGTCATTCAGCCCATTATGCCTGTGCTAATTCATTAGTAAAGCTATTCAATTAGTTCCATGCCACTTGTCCATTACTTTAATTCAACAAATTATTTCTTTTATAAGTACCCATCCAATTCTCTTTTGAAACCTGCCATTAAAGTCTGTTTCCACCACCCTCACAGACAGTGCAGTCCAATTTCAAGGAAACTTGGCAAGATGGATCTGAAACTGGCTTAAATAATAGGACATAAAGAGTAGTGTTAGAAGGATGTTTGAGTGACTGGAGACTGGTGTCCAGTGGTGTACCACAAAGGTCAGTACTGGGACACTTAATGTTTGTTATATACATAAATGATGTAGATGAAAATGTCGGGGGGGTGGATGTTAAGCAAGTTTGCATGATTGGTAAGGTGGTTTATAGTGAAGAAGATAGATGTAGGTTGCAGGAAGATATAGATGGGTTGGTCAGATGGGTAGAGTAGTGGCAGATGGTATTTGATCCTGATAAGTGTATGGTGATGCATTTTGGAAGAAGAATCAAGATGATGGAGTATTTAATGGATAGCAAGACACTGGGTAGCTTAGAGGAACAGAGGGATCTCAGGGTTATTATTCAAAGATCCCTGAAGTCAGCAGAGCACGTAAATAGGATGATTAAGAAGGCATATGGAGCATTTGCTTTCATCAGTTGTAGCATAGAGTATAAGAGCAAGAGGTAATGTTGAAGTTGTACAGACATTGGTCAGGCCACAGCTGGAGTACTGTGTGCAGTTCTGGTCACTACAGGAAGGATATCATAGCACTAGAGGGGGTACAGAGGAGCTTCACCAGGATATTGCCTGTGACGGAGACATTGAGATATAAGTAGAGACCACCTAGGCTCGGATTGTTTTCTTTAGAGCAGAGAAGATGGAGGGGGGACATGATTGAGGTATATAAGACTAAGAGGAGTATGGACAGCGTGAATTGAGAGCAGCTATTCCCCTTGGTTGAGGGCTTAATCATGAGATTTTAGGGTAAGGGACAGGAGATTTAGAGGGGATTTGGGAAAAAAAATTTCACTCAGAGGTGGTGGGAATCTAGAATGATACAGAGGTGCCGATGTTGGACTTGGATTGACAAAGTAAGAAGATCCTGACTTCACCTGACAAAGGAACAGAGCTCAGAAAGCTGGTGATTTTAAATAAATCGGTTGGACTATAACCTGATATTGTGTGACTTCGGAATCTGGAATGCACTGCCTGAGAAGGCTGTAGAGACCGGAAACCTTACAACCTTTAAAAAATATTCGGAAGAGCACTTGAAATATCATAACATTCAAGGATATGGGACAAGTGCAGGAAATTGGGATTAGCACAACTCTAAGTGGTGGTTACATTGTTGCAGACTCAATGGGCTGAAGGGCCTTTTCTGCACTGTATGAATCTATCGCTGTGTAAAAGTAACGCACATTGTCTTGCACTTAGTTCTTTCCCCAACTTTGTTATTTCTGTTTCCTTCTGGTTATGGATCTTCGTAACTCTGAAAACTGTTTCTCCCTATATTTTCATTACCCTTCAGAGTTTTGAGGTAAATAGTGAAAGGAAGTACATTTATACTCTTCTTTGATTTTACTTTGATTTAAAAGCAGTTTAAATGGATTGGGTAACACAAATGAGAACATCCAATCCCCTGTGACACATAAATTCTGTGTATAAAATTCACCTGAGGAAATCCAGCAGGCAATTCAAAATTCTCCAAACTTTAACATGCAAAAGAATTGCTTGCATTTTCAGAGAATAAGGGAAAAGATGGTTCAGTGAATTGTGGGGACATAATGACAAACATTTTTCATACACTTTCCTGTTGCCTGAGGAAGATGTGAATCACCTAATAATTTAAATTAAACAATATAAGATGCTTAAAGAAACTGTAAATAAACTACAAATCATTGGGAGTAGATTGTAATGAAGGTGGATTGACATCCACTTTGCAAAAAAACACAATGTGAACGAAGCTTCGCAGCCTCTACAGTCATACCAATATTCTATAACTGCCACAGAACATCCCATAATACTGCCCCTTCCCCCAGACTCCCCTGTGCTATCCCATAATAATCTCCATCCTCCCAGACTCCCCTGTGTTCTCCCATAATAATCTCCATCCTCCCAGACTCCCCAGTGCTATCCCATAATACCATCCTGTCTACGAGACCCATCTGGGCTATCCCATAGTACTGTCCCTTCTCCCAGACTCCCCTGTGCTATCCAATAATACTGTCGCTTCTCTCAGCCTCACCTGGGCTATCCGGTGGTACTGCAGATTAATAACCCTGGAAACGGCCATCTGCATGCTGCCAAATACTGCCACAACCTCCAGCTTCTTGTCATCGAAGGACGGTGCTCCATAATTCTGAAACAAAAGAAATGGGTTACTGGAATGCTTGGCTTGGACCCCAGAATCAATGTCCAGGGCAGTGACAGCCCCTTCGTTACATGCTGCCATGAAACTGCACCTGAACCATTCTGTGTTCGTGTATCATTCTCAGTTACCATCTCCCAGTTCAGTGCCTCAACAACGTATGACCCGTGCCAATGATGTTTCCTGTTCCCAACTTTCCTCTCGAAGAAATTAATGCTTCCTGAGATCCAGTTACAAAGGAGCTTCCTACTGTCCCTGTATCTCACTGCCTAGTTCTTAGTTGTTCAGTACTGAGTGTCAGTGCACTACTTAACTATGAGGGGAATATCAATTCAGCCAATCCTCAGATTGTGTAAAATTCCAGACAGGAATTTGGCAGTGCCTGCATGTATATGGAGAATAGGAACACAGCCTGATTATCCCTGTACCGCAGAGACCCTAGGCTTTAATTATAAACCTCCAAAATCAGCCTCAAAATGAAATTGTTATTAAATCCTAATTTGTTATTTCTCCAAGACTCACTAATATGCTGAAAAAAACTTACGTCCATAGTAAGTTTCTTTCTGCAACAGTTGCAGGTCATCGGTGCATAGATACATGATACTGAAATATACTCTACAGGGAGATGTCAAGATTCTCCCCTTATCACAATTCCTTATCTGAAGACTCCCTTGTTAAATTGTTTTAATGCCCATATGCAAAATGCAGTAATGTCCTTTTTGTTATGTGCTTTAATGTATATCTGTGCCATACTAATGTCTGTGCATATTATTCACTGGTATCCGTGTGCAGGCTACTTGTGTCTTATATATCAATGACCCACACAATGCATAAAGATACTCACATCATTCTCCTTTGTTCCTCCCCAGAAGTTAATTCCACCAGCGTAACTGGGGATGTTGAGCACTGCTAGCCCTTGGAGACTAGGGAGTGAGATAGACACTCCATCACACTGTAACACAAAAACAACAAGTCATCTGTGGGAATGTTCATCCGCATATCAGGCTGAACAGCAAGTGGAAAGATTCACATATCAAACATTACCCCAGTCAAAAAAAAATGGAGATGGCAGAATCCTCCAAGATCTGAATACTCAACTCCAACAGTTGATGTTGTAACACCTGTATTCTTTAATAAATCATTTATGTAATTTGATATGTAAGATTGAGCATTAAATATGCCGCATTACTGGACCATGCTTCTGTGTTGCAGATGAACTCTCTCACACAAGGGGCAGTGGAAATTTGGACCTGTCTCTCAAAAAGGAATGGATGCTAGGGTTCCATTGCCATCCGGATGTATCATGGCTTGGTATGGCAACTGCTCTGTCGAGGACTGTTAGAAACTACAGAGAATTGTGCACACAGCCCAGGCCATCACGCAAGCCAAGCTTCCACCCAGTGGACTACAGTCCACATTTAGGCCTTCCCAATTTGGCCCCAACCGCGACAATGTCTACATTCAGAACATTGAGATCCTTCAAAAACATTTCTCCCTGCGACTCCTGAAACACACACTCGCAGCAATGCGCCGGCATCGCCTTTTATAAACGCTTGGGAACCCTGCAGCCCAGTGGTATCAATGTGGACTTCACAAGCTTCAAAATCTCCCCTCCCGCTACTGCATCCCAAAACCAGCCCAGCTTGTCCCCACCTCCCTAACCTGTCCTTCCTCCCACCTCCCTAACCTGTCCTTCCTCCCACCTATCCCCTCCTCCCACCTCAAGCCCCACCCCTTCTCCTAACTACTAACCTCATCCCGCCCCCTTGACCTGTCTGTCCTCCCTGGACTGACCTATCTCCTCCCTAACTTCCCACCCACACTCACCTTTACTGGCTCCATCCCCGCCTCTTTGACCTGTCTGTCTCCTCTCCACCTATCTTCTCCTCTATCCATCTTCTATCCAGCTCCCCCTCGCTCCCTATTTATTTCAGAACCCCCTTCCCCTCCCCCATTTCTGAAGAAGGGTCTAGGCCCGAAACATCAGCTTTCCTGCTCCTCTGATGCTGCTAGGCCTGCTGTGTTCATCCAGCTCTACACCTTGGTATCTCATCTTCCATCCATTGACTCCATCTACACTTCTCGCTGCCTTGGGAAGGCAGCCAACATAATCAAAGATCCCTTCTACCTCAGTTATAATCTCTTCCAACCTCTTCTGTCGGGTGGAATATACAAAAGCTTAAACACACATACAAACAAATTCAAGAACAGCTTCTTCTTCACTGATATTATACTTTTGAATGGATCTCTTAAATTTCAAATTTAATATAGATCTTGTTCTTTATGTGCTTCTCTACAGCTGTAATATTGTATTTCTCACTCTGTTCTATTACCCTAATGCACTTCACATGCCATGATATAGATGAGCAGGTGTTGGACTGGGGTGGACAAGGTCAGAAGTCACACGACACCAGGTTATAGTACAACAGGTTTATTTGAAATCTCAAGCTTTTGGAGCGCTGCTCCTTCGCTTCACCTGACAAAGGGGCAGAGTTATGAAAGCTTGTGATTTTAAATAAACCTGTTGTACTATAACCTGGTGTTGTGTGACTTTTGCACTTTGCATGGTATGATCTGCCTGCACTATACACAAAACAGAAGTTTTCACTGTACCTACATACATGTGACAATAATAACCAAATCAAATCAAAATCAAAGATTTTCAAGACTGAGATCGATGGGCTGTTTGGGATTAAAATTTCTGTCAAGGGATAGGAATTCAAGGTGGCTTAATGAAATTTGAAGTAAAAAATTTGAAATGAATGGGAGAACAGTTAAGAGGAGCTGTACAACCTCATCTGATTCCTGTATTCCTAGTTGTGAATAATATTGCTTTTTTGACTGTACTGAATGACAGAATAATGAGGTCACTGTGGGCCTTTGAAAGAAGGCTTTTGAAGGGGAATTATTTGAGGAACATTGGGAGATAAGTCACTAGTGAAAAGTTTTGGTGAGATAGTTCAAGGAAGTTGGGCAAAAATGTCTTGATTTTGTTCATTCACAGGATGAGGGCGTCACTAGCTATCTCAGCATTTATTGTCCATCCCTTAACTGCCCAAAGAGTCAACTAAATGGCTGTGGGTCTGGAGTCACATGTAGGCCAGACCAGGTAAAGATAGCCGTTTCCTTCCCTAAAGGGCATGAGTGAACCAGACGGATTTTTCCTGACAATTGACAATGGTTTTGCCGTCATCTTTAGATTCCTGAGTCCCAATTTTTCTATTGAATTCAAATTTCAGTATGGTAGGATTTGAACCCTGGTCCCCAGAAATATTACTTGGGTCTCTGGATTAACAGATAGTACCACTGACCCATCACCTCCCCTGAGGATCTATTAATGAAACTGAGTGGAGGCCAAAAGCAGAGATACGTACGTGAAGAGAAAGAGATTGGTGAAAACAAATGTAGATCCCCTACAGACAGAAATGGGGGCATGTATAATAGGGAACAAAGAAATAGCTGAGCAACTGTATACATACTTTGGTTCTGTCTTCACAAAAGAGGACACAAATCAGATACCAGAAATGTTGGAGAATGCAAGATTTAGTGAGAAGGAAGAATTGAGGGAAATCAATATTAGTAATAAAAGTGTGCTGGGAAATTTGATGGGATTGAAGACAGATAAATCCCCAGGGCCTGATAATCAACATCCCACTTAAGGAAGTGGCTCTAGAAATAGTGGATGCATTGGTGGTCACCTTCCAGGATTCTGCAGACTCTGGAACAGTCCCTGCAGATTGGAGGATAGCTAATGTCACTCCAATATTCAAAAAGGGAGGTAGAAAGAAAACAGGGAATTATAGACCGGTAGTGGAGAAAATTCTTGAATCCATTATCAAGGATAGCAGGCCATTTCGAAAGCAGTGGCAGGATCAGACAGAGTCAGCATGGATTTATGAAGAAGAAATCATGCTTGACAAGTCTGTTGGAATTCTATGAAGATGTAACTAGTGGAGTTGACACGGGGGAGCCAGTCAATGTGATATACTTGGACTTTCAGAAAGCATTTGACAAAGTCCTGCATTAGAGATTATTGTGCAAGATTAAAGCACATGGGATTGGGGGAAATGTATTGATATGGATAGAAAACTGGTTGGCAGAGAGGAAGCAAAAAGTAGGAATTAATGGGTCCTTTTCAAATTGGCAAGCAGTTACTAGTGGGGCACCACAGGGATCGGTGCTGGGATCCCAGCTATTTACAATATATATTAATGATTTGAATGAGGGAGAAAAATATAACATCTCAAAATTTGCAGATGATCCCAAGTTGAGTGGGGGGAGGGTGAACAGTGATGAGGATGCAGAGATCCTTCAGCATGATCTGGACAGGTTGAGTAAATGGGCAAATCAATGGCAGATGCAGGATAATTTGGATAAATGTGAGGTTATTCACTTTGGAAGCAAAAACAAGAAGGTAGATTACAATCTGAATGGCTGTAAATTGGAAGAGGGGAGTGTGCAATGGGACCTGGGTGTCCTTGTGCACCAGTCGCTGGAGGTAAGCATGCAGGTTCAACAAGCGGTAAAGAAGGTAAATGGTATGTTGGCCTTCATTGCGAGAGGTTGAATACAGGAGCAGGGATACATTGTTGCAGTTATACAGGGCCTTGGTGAGGCCACACCTAGGATATTGTGCACAGTTTTGGTCTCCTTTTCTTAGGAAGGATGCTCTTGCTCTCGAGGGAGTACAGTAAAGGTTCCGGTGGATGGATTGTCTGACGTATGAGGAGAGATTGACTAGGTTGGGATTGTTTTCACTGGAGTTCAGATGAATGAGGGGGGATCGCATAGAGACTTATAAAATTCTAACAGGACTAAACAGGGTAGATGCAGGGAGGATGTTCCCGATGAGGCGTGTGTCTCGAACCAGGGATCACAGTATGACGATTCTGGTGGATGGAGATGATGAGACATTTCTTCACCCAAAGAGCATGAGCCTGTGGAATTCATTACTACAGGAAGTATTTGATGCCAAAACTGAATGTATTCAAGAGGCAACGAGATAAAGCACTTGGGGCAAATGGGATCAAAGGTTATGGAGAGAAAGCAGGATTAGGCTACTGAGTTGGATGATCAGGCATGATCGTGATGAATGGCAGAGCAGACTTAAAGGGTTAAATGGCCTCTTCTTGCTCCTATCTTCTATGTTTCTATGTTTCTATATCGGCTCCAGAGGCAGGGTGAAGCCAAGTATTGAGGGGATTTTAATTTTGGCCCTGTGCAGCCCCAGATCTTCCATTTCATACTCATCCTAGTGTTTTCTTCACAGATTCATCTTCCTAGGTCTTCACAATTTGCTCCATCCTGTTCCTCATCCCACTCTTCCTGAACCCTGAAATTTCACATTGATCCCATCCAGCTTTTATCTCATTCCTTTTCTACTCATCCCAAAGCTCATCTTTTCAAATCAACCCTTCCATATTTATCCCAGGTCATCTCCACTCATCCCAGGTTTTTCCTCTTTTGCCTATATCTTTATTTTAACTTTTCTCATGCCCTCATTCCAGACTCAGTAGGATACCTCTGGTCAGCTCCCTTCTTTCTAACTTCAGCACCCAGCAGGCTCAATCTTTCCATGTAACTCCCACCTACACAGTTGCTGTCCACTGACTGCCACATCAAACACTCCGAGGACAGAGACAGCATGGGGTTAGATACAGAGTAAAGCTACTTCTACATTCCCCATCGGCACTCCCAGGACAGCATGGAGTTAGATGCAACGTAAAATTTCCTCTATACTCCCCATAAAACACTCCCTGTACAGGTACAGCAGGATTAAAGTTTTGGATGAGATTGTTGACTTGCTCGCTGAGCTGGCTCGTTTTTGTTCAGACGTTTCAACACCCATGCGAGGTGACACCTACGTCACCTCGCATGGTGACGAAACGTCTGAACAAAAACAAGCCAGCTCGGCGAACAAGTCAACAACCTCAGGTACAGCAGGTGTTAGATGCAGAGTAAAGCTCTGAAAAGATTGCCAAAATTACGATTGTTTTGATTTTGTATATGGGTGAGCTATCAACTGTAGAAATATCCCATTTCTATCTGAGCAATCGAGTGTTAGCCAGATCCTGGTTTTTGATAGGGCCAATCCAGCCTGCAAATGTATGAGCATTGGTCAGTCCAGTGTTACCAGCCTGCCTCTGTTTATATCACACCAAGCACTGGCAACTGGGTATTGTACCTCCAGGTGGACTCTCTGCTCTAAATTCTTGTATGTTCTCTGAAGAAGTTCCTTGGTGCCAAGGACTCCATACCACATCATATTCTTAGTCCGGCTCCTGAACAAAACAAAACACAATTACACATTAAAATTGCCAGTGCACTCTGTCTCTAATGTTGTAAGCTGAAGTAATTTGTACAATACTATCACTCAACACGAATCACACTGTGTTACACCCTGTACATCAGGCACTGAGTCTGGGACAGACCTGGCTCAGTCTGTGTTCCACCCTGTACTCCAGGCACTGAGTCTGGGACAGACCTGGCTCAGTCTGTGTTACACCCTGTACATCAGGCACTGAGTCTGGCACAGTGAGTCTGTGAGTGTCATTCCACATACATAAGGCCCAGACCACCAAGACAGGAAACTGACATCCCATACCTGCATTTTTTAGGGTGCTCTTCCCTCTTGTTGTTGAACTCCAGTGATATTTTCGCATCCAGTCCAATTCCAAAATAGTTGTTCATCACACACCTCTCAGAGAAAGACCTAGAACAATAGGCCAAGTGTCACTAGAATTCTAAAGTTGTAGAATGTTGTAGCATAAGAAGGGGCCATTCAGCCTGTCATGACTGAGTCTTTGTTTTTCTCAGAAGAGCTCTCTGAATTTGACCCATATCTCAGCTTTCTACCCTATGACACCCCAAATAAACTCTCTTCAAATACATAACCAACGCTTTTTAAAGTCCCTAAGGAATCTGCTTCCACTATTCTGTCAGTTATTGCATTCCAGATCTTAACAAACTATTATGCACAAAGTCAAATTTCCTGCAAACTTTCTGAACAAGGTTATCAACTCAAAAATTTGTAATTATGCATATCCAAATCCCTCTACTTTTGTACCAGCTCAAAATAGTACTACCTCGATTTCATTGCAGTCTACCTTGTCTGGCTCTTTAGCTGATTCCTGTCCACTTGAACACCTCTTTGCCACTTTGCACTACAGTTACTTCAATCATAATTATATTTTGATCACAATTGTCTAATGTTCTCCTTCACCGCACGTGCTCAATTTCATTCACAGAACATGGTCCAGTCTTCTTCCTCATTGGTTTGAAACACATTGATTAAGGAAGTTCTTCTGCACATATCTGAAGAAACATTCACTCTCCTTGACTTTGAATGTTCTCCTCCAGTTTAGCAGAATATATAACGTTCATGTTATTCCTGGAGTAAGGTTTTTAACTTTCTCTGAAATGTGAATGTGGATCTTTCCTTCTGTCACCTTCTCATGAGTTGAGGGTGGGATTTAGCCAGCACCCAACATAGCAACAGATCCCATTGGGGTGTGTAACAAGCCAGACTTTGAATCTTCTAGTATATCACTCCTGTTGTAGTATGTCATAATTTATTTGCGATTATAATTGCCACTCCCTGTTTTTCTTGTTCTTTCACGCTGCTGAATCATTTTAATGGGGACTATTTTGTTCCCAGCGCAACAGCACTCTTGCTTTATTTCCCTGTGCTGCTGTTTCTACTTCATCTCCACGGTTTTGATAGTCCTTGACTCTACTCTCCGTTGCTATAAACTAAGCCCTCTCCTCTGCCAAATTCAGTAATTTGCACATCCACAAGTTTAATAGTGGTCAGCATTTTGCAAAAAAATAGACTTTCTAATTTTTTATTCATTTTAATCAATCATTTATCATTAATCATTTTCAACTGTACAGAGCCAGGAGAAGTGTTTGAAGGAGAATAGTGTAGAAGGAGCTTTACTCTGTATCTAACCCCATGCTGTATACATCCTCTGAGTGTTTGATGGGGATAGTGTAGAGGAAGCTTTACTCTATATCAAATCCAGTGTTGGCTCTGTCCTGGGGGTGTTTGATGGGGTCAATGTAGAGAGAGCTTTTTTCTGTATTTAATCCTGTATTGTCCCCATCCTTGAAATGTTTGATAGGACAGTGTAGAAAGAACTTTGCTCTGCATCAAACCCTGTGCTGACCATGTCCTAAGACAATGATGGGGACAATGCAGTGACAGTTTACTTTCAGAGGGAGCTTTACGTAATCTAATCCCATTCCAGCACTCTACTGTAAGTGTTTGGTGGAGACATTGTAGAGACATCTTTACCCTATATTGAATCTGCGCCGTGCATGTCCTAGGGGTAGTTGATGGGGAAAGTGTAGAGAGAGCTTTGCTCTGCATTGAATGCTGTGCTGTCTCAACTCCTGGAATGTGTGATGGTGACAATGTAGCATAAACTTACACACACACACACAACAAAAACAAATTTGCTGGAAAAGTTCAGCAGGTCTGGCAGCATTTGTGAAGTAAAAGAGTTAACGATACGGGTCCAACGACTCTTCCTCAGGGTCTGAGGAAGGGTCACAAGACCTGAAATGTTAACTCCTTTTTCCTTCACAGATGCTGCCAGATCTGCTGAGCTTTTCCAGCAACTTTGTTTTTGTTCCTGATTCGCAACATCTGCAATTCTTTCGGTTTTTATTTAGCATAAACTTACCTTCACTTTAAAACAGTAGAGAGAGCACTATTTTGTATCTAACCCTGTGCTGTACCTGTACTTGGAGTATTTGATGCGGACAGTGTCAAGCAATCTTTCCTCTGTATCTCACTCAGACTGTACCAGACGCCCTCCCCACTCCAGCAAGTTTAGTCTTTCTGTTGTTGATGATAAATATACAAAGGAATTTCCTATTCCAGACCTGCTGTAATGGAGATATATTTACTAACCTTTGTGGATGTTTATTTTGTGATACACATCCCAATTCCTTCATAGTAAAAGAAGAACCAAATAGGAAACAACGAAATGGTTCCTGTTTGGATTCTGGGTTCTGAGCTTCAATCATTCATGGATGTATTTACTAAAACCCGGGGACAGGTACAAAATGTTCACTTACATCATGCTGGGATCTTCAGGGAAACTCGGAGGGCTGGTGCCATCAGATTGGTCAAGGAATATGGTGGATGTCATGGAAGTCACTGTTCCTCTTCTTCCCCCTGTTAGTGCAACAATATACAGGGGTCAGGTTATAAATCTGCTCTGTCCCAGTGAACATCGTTCTGCACTGTTCCAGTGAAAGTCTCTCTGATCCGTCCCTGTGAGTTTCCCTCTGCACTGTCCCAGTGAGTTGCACTCTGCTCTGTCCCAGTGAGAGTCTCACTCTGCTCTGTCCCAGTGAGAGTCTCACTCTGCTCTGTCCCAGTGAGTGTCTCTCTGCACTGTCCCAATGAACGTCACTGTGCTCAGTCCCAATGAATGTTGCTCTCCACTGTCCCAGTGAGTCTCACTCTGCGCTGTCCCAGTGAATATCACTCTGCACTGTCCCAGTGATTGTCACTGTCCCAGTGATTGTCTCACTGAGTGTCTCTCCGCACTGTCCCAATCAACGTCACTGTACTCTGTCCCAGTGAGTGTTTCTCCGCACTGTCCCAACCAGTGTCACTGTGCTCTGTCCCAGTGAGTGTCTCTCCGCACTGTCCCAATCAGCAACTCTGTGCTCTGTCCCAGGAAATGTCTCTTTGCACTGTCAAATTGAGTGTGACTCTTCTCTGTCCCAGTGAGTGTGTCTCTGCACTGTCCTAATGAGTGCCTCTCCACACTGTCCTAATTAGCATCACTGACCTCTGTTCCAGTGAGTGTCTCTCCACACTGCCTCAATGAGCATCACTGTCCTCTGTCTCAGGGAGAGTCTCTCCGCACTCCCAGTGAGTGTCACTGTGCGCTGTCCCAGTGAGTGTCACCGTTCGCTGTCCCAGTGAGTGTCACTGTGCACTGTCCCAGTGTGTGTCTCTCTTCTCCACCCAGTGAGTGTTACTCTGCATTGTCCTAGTGAGTGTCTCTCTGCTCTGTCCCAGTGAGTGTCTCTCTGCTCTGTCCCAGTGAGTGTCTCTCTGCTCTGTCCCAGTGAGTGTCTCTGCAGTTTTCCAGTGAGCGTCTCTCTGCACTTCCCAATCAGAGTCTCTCTGCACTGTGTGTGACTCTGCACTGTCCCAGTGAGCGTCTCTCTGTATCTCATCTGTAACTGTTCTATGAAAGCCATCATCCAAATATTCCAAGTTAATCAATTCTTCCTGCTGCCCTGCTCTCTGTCATTTGGGAGATATCACTCCAGCTTTCCAGCTCTGACCCAAATGCCTGAATGCTGATATTTTCTTCTCTGCATATCAATTTTAAAGAATTTTCTTTATTTTGTGCAATTTCAAAAGCCTCCTCTTTTCTGCTATGGTGTGTATATATAAATTTTAGCGAATGTCTTAGCGTCTACATTTGAAAATTTTCTATTTTCTTCCTTATAACTTTATGCAGATTTCTCAGGCATACAGAAACGTGGACAAAATGTTATAAGTATTTTCCCTGTTTGAGGTTTCTTGCTGTTAATACAGCCTTCATCTTACCAAAATTATATCTGACTATTTCTACCCTTCTTCTAATTTCAGCATCACATCTGTCATTACCTGTCACCATTTATCCCAAGGAGACAAACGTATCGACTTGTTCCAGTGCCACACCATCCATTTCGGTCTCATTTCTTCTCATGCTTTTTCATCTATCACAAGTTTTGTCATTTCGGTGTTCGTACTAAATCCATGTTCTAAACTTCTAGACTGAACTCAATCCACAACATTCTGTCAAGCTTCTTCTGATTCCATAAGGAGCACTGCGTCAGCAGAGTGCTGCATGTTTGTTATGTTTCTGCTTCTAATTTTTATCATCATCTGACTCCCTGAATATTTGTTCTGTATCATTGTACTCCTCTCTTTCACTTAAAACAGGTTTGATTATCCCTCCAGACTAATGCTTGCTGCTTGGTCCAAATACATGCTCTGGAAAAATCTTACCTCCTCCTGCTATCAATGTCACAATTCATCAACACATCCACTAACTCCTGGGGATAAACATGATCAAACACTTTTTCATAGATTATGAGTTTTTTCTTCTGGATATCTATCGAAGATTGTTCTTGGGTTAAATATTCCCTCTTCTGCTCCTGTTCCAGATCTAATTCCAGACTTTACTTCAACAATTTGCACTTTAACTGTGTTATTATTTCTTTAGATTATGATTTGCAAGGTCACTTTATTCAGATGGCTCATTAAGCTTTTTGTTTTGAAATGCTTTCTGGTTTATTAAGTAGCTTTGTGAATAATGAATGCCTCTAGTCACTTGGAAAGTCCCATTTGGTTTTTATTAAATTGCAAGTTTCTGTCAGTCTGCAATCCATACGAATGATCACAATAAACATCACAAATATCTGTATTACAATGTATTCATTGAGAGGTGGCCATTGTCAGTAAAGGATTGTACAGTATTGAGGAATGAGATGGTTGGCTACTTTGAATGTTAAATGTGAACAGGTCGATAAAAAGAAAACAAATTTACTGTCTTTTTTCAATTCACTCATGGGACATTTGCACTGTTGCCAGTGCCAGCATTTATTACTCATCCATATCTGCTCTCCAGAATGTTTTGAATGAGCTCTTAGTTTGTGAACACCATGGAAAGCCGTCCTGCTGTTCTAGGTACATTAAGTCTATGTAAAAGACATTCTACAGTATCGCTGTGTGGTTCAGCAGGAAGGCTATTGCCACACGTATGGAGTCCAGCATTCAATCCAAGAACAAGAGGGCATTTCAAGTGATTTGCAAAAAAGCCAATGTGAGGTGAGTAAAAGCTTTTTCATAAAGTCAGTGGTTCGGCCTAGAACTGTGGTGGAGGCAGGCTCAATTGAGACATTCAAGAGGGCATTAGATGTTTATTTGGATAGAAACAATGTGCTGGGTTACAGAGGAAAGGCAAGAGATAGTGACTCAGTCACAATGCTCTGTTAGACAGCCAAGTGTAGACATGATAGGCCATATCACTTCTGTGATTCTGTGAATGCTGTGAGCTCCTGATCTCAAACTGATAGTGTGTGGAAGGACTGTGGGGAATCCTGCTCAGCTGAGGGCAATGCCACTCTCTAAGGGCCAAGGGAAAGTCAGGCACCCAGGCTCCAGGAGATCACACATCCAGGTTAGTTCAACCAGGAGAGCAGAGTGAGTGCACTTCACTGGCAGGTAGAGAACCTAGGCAAATACACAGAGGAGGAGGCAGTCCCCTTTTTGGTATCAGAAGCTGCAGGATGTACAAAGCAAAGGCTGGTGTAAACAGTACCCTTTTCCAAAATAGTGTAGGAAATCAAAGAGCAACGACCCACTGTCAAACAGATCCATCAGCTCTCACCCCCACGTGACCACTTGTCAGCGCAGATCTGACTCACCTGTCCCACCAGCTTTTGGTTTCACCTCCTCTGAGCTCTCTCCCTCAACTGAAGTGGCTAGAAGGTTAACGTTTGCGGAAGTGCTGCGTATCACTTGACTCTGTCTGTTTTGTTCATCCAGCACTGTGACGGAACATAAGAGTTTGAGATTGAGATTCTGATATTGCATCTCACTCATTCTTGTGTGATCCAGTATACAGGCACACTTCCACAGTCTCACCCATTCTGTATGTGACCCAATGTACAGGCACACATTACAGTCTCACCCATTCTGTACATGACCCAGTGTACAGGTGTACATCACAGTCAGACTCATTCTGTACATGATCCAGTGTACAGGCACACATCACAGTCTGACCCATTCTGTATGTGACCCAGTGTACAGGCACACATCACAGTCTGACCCATTCTGTATGTGACCCAGTGTACAGGCACACATCACAGTCTGACCCATTCTGTATGTGACCCAGTGTAAAAAGACACATCACCGTCACACTGATTCAGTACATGACCGAGTGTACAGCCACACATCACAGTCTGGCCTCTTTCATGCTGATGCGGTATAAAGAAAGCTCCAATCTGCTGACCCAACCTTGTCATGCCTTGATTAATAAAGCACGGACAGTGAGATGATCTTGTGACTGTACCTTTCTCTGTTTGTTCAATGATCTGCCGCAGTGCTTTCTTCAAACTGTTGGCTCGCAACATAAGTTGCTCCTTTGACTTGAAGATTTTGGGTACAGCGTTTGTGTCTGGAATTTTTTCTGGGTGCGCTCCGTTTTCTGTACATTGCTTCTTTTCCTGTCCCACAGTGGTGGGTGGAGAGATGCCAGCGGGAACAATAACAGCTTGTGCCTCATCAGTCAGAGCCTTCACCAACGAGTCCAGCTTCTGGGTTAATGTGGCACACTGAGTGAGAGAAACACAGTCACAGCAACCCCACCTGGAGACGTTCAGCTGACATTCTCAGCTTCCATTGACTGAATTCTTGTCACCTTTCATTGGAAGGATGTTGTTAAACTTGAGAGGGTACAGAAAAGATTTACAAGGATGTTGCTAGGACCTGAGGGCTTGAGCTATAGGGAGAGTCTGAATAGACTGGGGCTGTTTTCTCTGGAGCATTGGAGGCTGAGGGGTGACCTTGCAGAGGTTAATAAAATAATGTGGGGCATGGATAGGGTGCAGAGCCAAGATCTTTTTCTTAGGGTGGGGGAGTCCAAAACTAAAGGGCATAGGTTTGAATTGAATTGAATTGAATTGAAATGAAGTGAATTAGTTTTATTGTCACATGTACTCACTTGAATACAGTGAAAAGTTTATAAGTTGCCACTTACGGCACCATGATAGGTACAAAAGTACCTAGGTACAAAATCTTAAGTCGAGGTTTAAGGTCAATGAAGATGAAGCTGAACTCCATTTTAAGTTCTTTCTTTTTATTCTTTGTACCTAAAAATGGAGCCAGACTGTAGCGACAGAACACTTTTTACTGCATCTCCCTAGATGTTTGTGACAATAAATCATTCATTCAAATCAATCATTCACTCATTCGTTCAAGGTGAGAGGGGAAAGAATTAGAATGGGCCTGAGGGGTAACATGCAGAGGGTAATGCGTGTAAGGATTGAGCTGCCAGAGGAAGGGGTGGAGGCTGGTACAATTACAACATTTAAAAGGCATCCGAATGGGTATATGTACAGGAACGGTTTAGAGGGATGTGGGTCAAATACTGACAAATGGGACTAGGTCAGATTGAGATGTCTGGTTGGTGCAGATAAGTTGGACCAAAGAGTCTGTTTCTGTGTTTTACAACTCTATGACTCCATGAGTCTCTGGAGGTCAGGCTCCTTTTAAAGAATGACTTTTACTGGAGTAAGGTTTGTAATTGCAGATTATTGGAAGTTTAGTCGTAATTTGGTTATGGGAATTAATTTGGTATTCTCCTGGCTTGTATCTAGGAACAGAGATGCGATGTCCCTAGCTCTGGGCCAGAAGGTCTAGGTTCAAGTCCCAGCTGCCCCAGAGAGTGTGTCATAACATCTCCAGACAAGTTAATTGAAGTGTATAATGTAGAAAGAGTAGGCTGCAGCATTTGACTCTATATCAAGCTGGATAGTTCAGTTCTCACCAAGCTCAGGGCATTCTGAGCAGCATTTGTTTCCGCCACCTAAATACCCACCTTGTTGGCCATGGTGTCTGCTTCCTCCTTGTTATCCTCGGCCTTCTTGTAGGCTTTACCAACCTCAGCGATGAAGTCACTTACTGTCCCACAGAGAAACCTGCAGAATCACCAGAAGAGGATAGTGAAAAGAGGAAGCAGAGTGCTGAGGGGATTAATACAGGGGAGGGGCGTGGAGTGGGGTTGATGCAGCATTGGTCTCCCAGCATGAAGCTGCTCTGTCAGAGGGGCATCTTCAGGACTAGCTCGGGCCTAACCTGTACCCACTTCTGCACCAAGACCTCTAGTTCCAGCAGAGTGAGTAACCAGGGTTAGCTTCATCTCCACTCTGTCACGGTGAGCTCCTGGATCTTGCAGTAATGCCCTAACTTTCTGTTAATGTGTAGCCAGTGGCAGGAACTTCCTGTTGGTACAGAACTGCCTCTCTGGATATGCTCTTCGGTCACAATCCAAATGAAGGGGGTAGAATTTCATGAAGTCCTGCTTTCCACAGTCTGTCCTGATTTTAACCATCCGACATCACTAGAGTCCTTATATTTTTACAGAACATTTTGGAAAGGCTGGTAGAACAGATGGTCTCAGCTCCCAGGATAGTCTCCGAATCAATGGCATATACCATTCTCTGATAATGCAGACAGGACCTAAGTGGCCTGACCTCTTTCAAACTAACTCCAACACACGGTTTTACTTTCAAAGACAATTCACACACTGCTGCTGGTGACTGTACCTGCATTAATGCACTGTCTGTAGCCCAAGGCTCCTTGCATTGATAGGACAGGCAGATTCTGTGATCCCTGCCTCTCCTTCAAAGGCTCTGTCCACAATAATCTGGTGCACCCCACGCCAACCTTCGGCCCCCATTTCAACTGGGCATGGCTGAATGACCAAGAAAATCTTAATGTAATTTTGCTCCTGTACAATGCAGTTAATTTGTAACTGCCCTCTGAAACCATGAATCCATTCGAGGGCAATTAGAGATGGGCATCAAATCGCTGTTGGCCACATTCTACAGATGAAATCTCAGACCATTGCTGGAGTTTCTGTCCTGGCACCCCTCATGGTCTTGGGTGACCCATATTGTGCATTGCAGCACAGGAGTGAGCTGAACAATATCCAGGAAATTCCATCGTCAAGCTCTGGCAAGACCATAACTCCCCAGGGCCAGAACAGCATGTTGGAGCTGTTTGTGTCTGAGCCCTCCTAGTAAACAGACCCTCTTTAAGCAGTTTCAAAACCAGCAAAAGCTACAGGTTGTTGAAGCTTAAACAGGGAGAAGCAAGTTTACCTGGCAGAGGAAATAACGTCAGAGTGTTGATCGGAATCAAGGACTTTTGTTAAATGATAAACAACGGAATCGGCGTATTGAGAGATCGGATCCTGTGAAAAGAGAATGGCAACAGTACAGCTTACCAGACTAACCCTCGTGATTACTCACTATATACACACTACTACAGCAACTGTAGAAGGCTTACAACAGGGAGTGCAGGAGACACTGACTGTACAACAGGGACTGTGGGAGACATTGGCAGTACAAAAGGGACTGTAGGAGACAGACTGTACATCAGGCACTGTAGGAGGTACGGACTGTATAATAGGGATTGTAGAGATGCTGACTGTACAACATAGACAATAAGAATAATTCCTGTCTCCTTTCCTCCTGTATGCCGAACGGGAATGTAGTGATATTTTACTTCTATGTCAACAACTGATGTTGTAAATTCTCTGGAATTAAATTGTGCATGTGATTGGGCATTATGGAGTTTTTACTTTCTGAAATCCATATTTCGAACACGCAAATACAAAACTTGTGGCTTTTTCCCGTCTCCACACAACCTCCTTTTAGATGACATATTTCTCAGATAAATGTTGGAGTCTGTTAACAGCAGCTTATAATCCTTCAGAATCTCATGTCTGCACCTGGGAATTGTAAACCTCGTCTCCTGTTATGATGGGAAGTGGCTTCGTTGCTGCTTCATATGTCATGATGCTCCACCTGTGGGATAGAGAGTAGAGAAGCCAGTCATCCCAGTCATACAACCCACAGTACACATTACTCAGAGCTTAGGGGGGGAGGGTGCTGTCCTATGTCACAAAACACTTCACAACTTGAAAACAGAACCCCACCACATGACTGGTAAGACTCCCAGAGCATGACAAGTGGAACATCAACAGACTATTCCAGAGAGAGAGAGACAGACAGACAGACAGATTCAATAAGCTATACTTATTGAAGTAAAAATGAGCGACACTATATTGAGGGGCTTGGATGGGGGGATTCTGTCTGTGATAGGGGGCAGTGATGGTGCGAATCGGCCTCTAATAGGTGGCAGTGATGATACTCTTCGTAATGGGGGAATTCTCTCTGTAATAGGGGACAGTGATTGTGGGATTCTCTCTGTAATGGGGGGACAGTGATGGGGGATTCTCTCTGTAAAAGGGAATGGTAATGGCGGAATTCTCTCTGTAATGGGGGCAGTGATGGGGGGGATTCTCTCTGTAATGGGGGCGGTGATGGGGGGTATTCTGTCTGTAATGGGGCTGTCATTGTGGGATTCTCTCTGAAAAATGAGACAGTGATGGGGTCTTCTCTCTGTGATAGGGGACAGTGATTGCAGGATATTCTCTGTAATGGGGGCAGATATGGTGGGATTCTCTCTGAAATGGGGACAGTGAAGGGGGGATTCTCTCTGTAATGGGAGCAGTGATGGTGGGATTCTCTCAGTAAAGGGAGGCAGCGATGGGGGGCTTCTCTCTGTGATAGGGTACAGTGATTGGGGGATTCTCTCTAACGGGGGCAGTGATGTTGGGATTCTCTCTGAAATGGGGACAGTGAAGGCGGGATTCTCTCTGTAATGGGGGCAGTGTTGGTGGGAATCGCTTTGTAACAGGGGGCAGTGATGGGTGGTATCTGTCTATAATAATGAGCTCTCAAGGGGAAATCCCATCATAAACTGTGTGTAATACACAGTGCAGAGAGAGATACCGAATGGTTTGCTTGGGCCAGATGGCAGATGACTGACCAGGAAGGAGAGTCCTGCGCCCAGCACTGATCACACTGCAATGTGAGCTCTTCAGAATACTGGCAGGATGTTACATTACTCCTGTTCTCACCCTGTACCTTCTTTCTGTGAGACACCCTGGGGAAGGCCCGTGGTGTAGAATATGGATGTGGAAGCTTTGGAGAGAGTACAGAGAAGGTTCACCAGGATGTTGCCTGGTCTCCAGGGCATTGGCTATGAGGATAAGTTAAAAAGACTAGGATTGTTTTCACTGGAAAGATGGCGGCTGAGAGGAGACCTGATAGAGGTCTACAAAATTATGAGAGGCATAGATAGGGTGGATCGTCAGAGGCTTTTTCCCAGGGTGAAAGTTTCAATTACAAGGGGGCACAGGTTCAAGGTCAGAGGGGGAAAGTTTAAGGGAGATGTGCAAGGGAAGGTTTTCACGCAGAGAGTGGTAGCAGCCTGGAATGCACTACCAGAAGAGGTCTTAGAAGGGGGCACATTGAAGACATTTAAGAGGCACCTAGATGTATACATTAGTAGGGAGGGAATAGAAGGATCGAAAAATGGCAGGTTTGTTTTTAGATTAATTGGGGCATGATGATAAGCACAGGCTTGGAGGGCCAAGGGCCTGTTCCTGTGCTGTACTTTTTCATTTGCTCATATGCCCCAGGTAATGGCAGAAGAGGTAATGAACCTGAAGGAGGAATGGCTGAAGGAAATCCAGTGTGGGTTTGAATAAATGAGCAGAGTGTCTGAGAAAGTGTGGGATAAGGGAACAAACCATCGCTGTGAAGAGGAATTAATGGAGGACACTCCTGGATTCCGCAGTGCTGGTGTGGGATAGGGTAGTGGCACTTCAAACAGAACAGGAGTTCAGAGATTGTGCATACACAGAGGTTTAAAAAGGCAAGAGGTTTCAACAGACCAAATAAAGAGAATAACAGGAGCACCTAGATTGAAGATAATTGGCAAAAGAACTAGAAAGATGTTCCTAAAGTAATTTGATTGAACCTGACATGCACTGTCCTGAAAGGCTGATGAAAGCAGATTCAAGCATAGCTTTCAAACAGGAATTGGATAAGTAAAAGTAAAATACTGCAGATGCAGGCAATCTGAAACAAACACACAAATTGCTGATGAGCGTCAGTAGGTCTGGGAGCATCCGATACATTCCTCTTCAGAACTGTCAGTCTTCAGCTCCGAAGAAGACTCACATTAAACTCGAAACGTTAACTCTGTTTCTTTCTCCTCAGATGCTGCCAGGCCTGCCAGTAATTTGTTTTAGGAGTTGGCTAAAAACTTTTTAAAAACATTTTCCGGGTTATGAGCAAAGAGCAGTGGGAATGAGGGGAATTGATAGCTCGCTAAAACATGAGAGGCTGAATAGCCTCTTCCTTGGATTGCGTGGCAAGGAGGGAGGCTGCCTGGCAGGGAGGATGGTCATGGGAGAGAGATACATCAACACAAGCCGACACTCTTACCTGTCCAGCATCTTGGTGGTGGCACGCTCCAGTTTGGCCACAACCTGAGGAAGCTGTGCATCATCGTCACATAGTCCACCCCAGCCGAGTACCCTCGCCAGGTCATTGCCTGTTCCCAGGGGCAGCACACCCAGCTTACACTGGCAAAGAGAATGAAATACTTCAGCGATCGAGACTAGCTCACTGTCAGACATCTGTCACGCAGTTCCCAAGAAGGGTGACTGCACACGAAATGTTAACTCTGCTTTCTCTCCACAGATACTGCCAGACTGACTGAATTTTTCCAGAAAATTCTGGTTTTGTTTCTGTCTGTCACTATCTGCTCACTCTCAACCCTTCGCAGTCTGTCTCTAAGTCCCACCTTTGTCTTTCATTCTCTGACACGTCCTCTCCCATCTATCTGTCTGCGTCTCAGTCCCACCATCTCCTGCCTGTCTGTCTCCATCTCACCATCTCCTGCCTCTCTGTGTCTCAGTCCCAATGTCCCCTGTCTGTCTGTCTCAGTCCCACCCTTGTCTTTTTGTCTGTTTCTAAGTCCAACCCTCTCTTGTCTGACTGTTTGTTTGTCTGCCTGTCTGTCTCAGTTCCACACTCTCCTGTCCATTAGTCTGTCTGTCAGTTCATCTTCTCCTGTCTGTCTGTTTCTCTGTCCCTCAGTCCCACCCTCTCTGGTCTGTCTGTCTGTCTGTCTCAGTCCCACTCTTGTCTGTCTCTGCTCAGTATTACTGCAGCAACATACAAATCCAAGAGTTAATTAAAAATAAAACACATCTCCAGGTTAAGCAAATAAAAACAAACCAAGGTCCATGTCACTCACTGACCTGTTTGTGTAAACCCATTTTATCGATTTCGGACAAGACCCAGCCCACACTTCCATCTCCTCCACAGGCCAGAATTCGGAATGTAGCAAACTTCTGGAACAGTCGTAGGCTGCCAGAGAACAAACACAGTACAGCTTCACTCCAGATCGAGCAAAGAAGCAGCAAAAGTCAAACTCCCCGAATGTTTGTAGTAACCTCCCTCCTCCACCCACCCCAGAATTTCCTGATGGTGGCTTTCGCACTGGGTTTGAAATATGCACAGAATGCAGTGGTATTGCTGTTGAAGCTGCAGCATGAAATAGGAACAGCTTCAAGCAAATCTCATGTGATTCCATGCAGATAGTTTGTAAAGATTTGCATTTGTCTTTGCATAACTGAAAACAAGGTTCAGTAATCGCATCAGTAAATTCATTCTGAAATGTTGGCCAAACAATTCCTTTGGAAGTAATGACAGATTCACCACACCAGCACTGTATCAAAAGGGCTAAGATCTTGAGGAATTATGTCTACAACCCAGCTAGATACTACAATGCATAGATCATAGAATCCCTACAGTGTATAAACAGGCCCTTCGGCCCAACAAGTCTACATCGACCCACAGAGCATCCCACCCAGATCCATCCACCTAATCTACACATCCCTGAACACTACAGGCAATTTAGCATGGCCAATCCACCTAACCTGCACATCTTTGGACTATGTGAGGAAGCCAGAGCACCTGGAAGAATCCCAGACAGACATGGGGAGAATGTGCAAAGTCCACACAGACAGTTGCCCAAGGGTGGAGTTGAACCCAGGTCCCTGGCGCTGTGAGGCAGCAGTGCTAACCACTGAGCCACTGTGCCACCCCAATACTGACAAAATACCGCACTATTTCAGAAACTATACTGAGGGAGTCCTGCACTGTCGGACAGCAAGCTTGAAGGGGATATATGCTGAGGAAAGGCTGTAATATTGGACTATCTGAGGGGCTTATGATGAAGAAACACTAGGTGAAGAAGGCTCAGTATTCAGGAAGTGATGTACAAGTCAGGGTCAGTACTAAGAGAGTTGTGTACTGTCAGAGGGTCAGTACTGAAGGAGTGGTGCACTGTCGGAGGGTCAGTACTGAGGGAGTGCCACACTGTCAGAGGGTCAGTTCTGTGGGAGTGCTGCACTGTCAGAGGGTCAGTACTGAGGGAGCACTGCACTGTCAGAGGGTCAGTGCTGAAGGAGTGCTGCACTGTCAGAGGGTCAGTACTGAGGGAGTGCCGCACTGTAAGAGGAGCGACCTTTCGGTTGAGTTAAAAGATCCCATTCAACAAAGGATAGAGATCTCTCGTGCTGGCCTGGTCAAGAGACCTACCCAAAAAAAACAGCACCAACAAAACAGATGAACCTTTAATTCACGTCACAGTTACTGACATTCGTGTTAAGCAGCTGACACGAAATTGTACTGTGCAAACCGAATTGCAAGTGGAAATGCTGAGGAATGTTTAACAATGATAAGCCACGAGGTGCACGGATGGTAGCTGGACCTACCCGAGGTGGGGCCCACCGATCATCAGGTCGAATACCTGCGCGGGGTTCAGCAGCTGTTTGAATTTCCTGAGGAACTTCACCCCCTGGTTATCACCACTTTTGGAGTTCACCAGGACCAGGAGGGGACTGCTACAGGATGAGGAACAAGTGGCCTTCCAGAAACCTGAACGAAAGCAAGGACAGAGCGATGTGACTCTGACTGAGAGATTAAAGAAAAGACAAGTAACCATGAAGGTAATAAGATAGGCTAATCGGGAAATTCTCAGGAACATCCCCAGAGGGAAACAGATAGAGAAATCCATTCTTAATTGAAAATGAATGCACTGAGCATACTGGAGCTCCATTTTAAGGTATACATGTTGAGACAGACCAGTAATTTCTCCTGGTTCTTTGCTCAGGGTAGGGATCATAATTCCAGGAGATGGCCAGCTGGGACTGGAGTCTGACAGATAATGGGGATTTTTGAGGGGGCATGCTCCCCACCCATTATGTGAAGGGGTCTTGACCTCTCTAACAGCTACACCCAGCTCTCACTTGGGCCTATTGTGCTGAGGCCTTGGAACAAGCCCCAAGTCTTAGGCAGGGAGATGTCAATAATCACGAGGGAATTGATGACCTGTGTGAGGCTCCATCAGCCGAAGCTGCATTGCTTTGGGCTAAACCACCTTAAATGTAAAAGCCCCCTCTCAAGTACTCCCCTCCAAGGCCAGTCCTCAATCCCCTACCCCATCCACACTGTCCCTCCTTACACACAAGGTGGGACAGATTCAAAAATCTTTGGGCTAGATCAGCCCTTCCAACCTCCTGACAATTCCCTACACAGAGAACTGCCTCATTCATCCAGGAGGTCACACCCATGGAATAATAAGAAGGCAATTTGCACAATTGGCTTCATTTCTCAGACCTTTGAGTATAGGAGTTGGGACGTCATGTTGAGGCTGTGCAGGAGGTTGGTCAGGCTTCTTCAGGAGTACTGTGTGCAGTTCTGGTCACCCTGTTACAGGAAGGATAGCCAAAGAGGGTTCAAATGAAATTTACCAGGATATTGCTAGGAATGGAGGGTTTGAGTTACAAGGAGAGGCTGGATAGGCTGGGATTTTGTTCACTGAAGTGTAGGAGGTTGAGGGGTGACCTTATAGAGGTTTATGAAATCACGCCGGGTAAAGATATTGTAAATGGCAGGTGTCTTTTCCCTCAGGTGGGGAATTTCAAGACTAGGAGGGGGCATATTTTTAAGATGAGAAGACAAAGATTTTAAAAAGACATGAGGGGCAATTTTTTTTTTTTACACAGAAAGTGGTTCATGTGTAGAATGAACTTCCACAGGAAGTGGTGGATGCGATTGCAGTTACATTTGGATAAGTACATGAATAAGAAATGTTTGGAAGGATATGGGCCAAGCACAGGCAGGTGGGACTAATTTAGTTTGGGATTATAGTCAGCATGGACTGGTTGGACTGAAAGGTCTGTTTCCATGCTGTACGACTTTTTGACTCTATTAAAGGTATCAATAAAGTAAATGCAATTCACAAGGTCTGTACATTTACTCATGGTTCTCGTCAATTTGAATCCCCAAAGTAAGATGAACTTTCCTGAATGACTCTTCACAACCCTGCAGAGCGATATTCATGCACACATGATTACGCACAAACACACAGCCCAGAGGGGAAAATAAATGATACTTGGAAATAGATGTACTGGTCATAATGGATCTCCATTTTTAATTAAAAGTCACTCACCAGTTTTACTGGTTCTTCCTCTGGGAAAGATTGTCACACCCACACAGGACTGAATCATAAATATTTTTTGGGCAAAGTGCAAGTTGCACCAATATTTTTGGAGGGATTGTTCAATGATGGTCATTCATCTTCTTAATTCAGTCAATTCACTGCTGGGTTAATTCGAAATGAAACTGTGTACAAAAGGCCGACAATGAACTGGGGGCTGGGGGTCAGTGCCTTCTTGCCTTTCGCTAACTTCACAGCAGTGGTCAGACTGACGCTCCCCAGAAGTCTCCCCATTTCTTATCTTCTTTGAGATAAAGCTCCTGGACAGTGTGGTGCAACGGTCCTCTTCCACAACCCCACCCCCAGCATGTACTGGAGAAACAGCCTTGACAAGGAGCTGCTATTTGAACACATTTGAAATGGAGAGGAGAGTCAGATCAGGCTTGAACTGACTGAATGGCAGAGGCGGGAGTGAATGGCGTCCTTCTGTGCGTGATGCTCCAGTCACGTTTAATCTCACTATATTGCGTCGTTTATGCCTTCACTACATTGAATTGTGTTTCCATAGCAACCATTTGACCTGATAGCAACTGCTGCATGACAGAGTTAGAAGTAATTTTTAAAAACCAGTTTGTGAACACTCAGGGTGCCGAAATAGAGTTTCCCTCTCTGACCCAGAGTGAGAAGTTTATATTTAGATTTAGAAATTTCTAAGCAGAGCTGGGTGTCGCTGTGTACTGATGTAAAATGACACTCTGCGCAAAAATAAATGACTAATAGAATCATAAAAAGGGAAAGTTTACATCACAGAAAGAGTCTCCTTCTCAGGACTCCATTTACGAAGGGAACTTCAACATCGCAACTCCTTTCAAAGAGACAGTCCCGCCATAAGGATCCCTTGTAACACTTAACACTTTAACTAAATCCATGTGTCACCCTTCCTCCAATCACCATAGTCTATATTTATATTGCATGTGGGTGCTTGCAATTTCGTGTTAGTGCAAATTGTGACTGTGTCATTGTCTGTGCCTGTATTTAAGTGCAGTTCTGGGAGCATCAGTGTACATATATGGGCATTTGTTTGGAACTTTTTGCACGTGTCTATCTGTCTCTGTGTCTGTGTTAGTGTTTGTGAGTACCTGTGTGTATTTGAATGTGTCACTGTATGTACGCGTGTGCTTGTGTCTGGATTAATGCATGTGTCCTTTGGTTTGTGTCATGTGTATGTGTCTCTGTTTGTAATGTTTGTGGCCAACTGTATTCTGCACAAAACTTCTCTTCTGGCATTGAGCCAATTGCTGTTCTCCTCCAGTAGTTTGATGGATTGAAGAGGGGGTGGGGGGGAATGATAGTACTCAGTTACCGCAGGAGTACTGCCATTTCAGTTACTCACCGTCTGGGTCTATGCTGTTCAGGGCTGTTGGAGGAATGACAGACAGCTTGCACTGTCCCAGCGGGCATTTCCTGTCTAACTGCTCCTTGCATATATTGTGGACCTGAAAAACAGGGCACACATGCTCAAACAATGCTCCCTATACACACTTCCAGTAAACCACAGGATAATACCTGGGTCACACAGAAGACAACAGCAGATTGTCACTCTCTGCACCCAATCTCATACAAACAAAATTCCTTACAGGATTACGTTTCCTATATCTCTGTTCACAGCACATCAGGAAATGTTTCTGATGAAGAAAAATCTTATTCATACTTAAAGAAGATTAAAATGATCCAAAGCTTGATCGTGAGAGTGGAAAAGAGTTTAAAGGAATTTTTTTTTTCTCTCTCCATTCCATTCAAAAAAATTATGTGGGAATTGATAGGAAGTGTGATTGAAAGGAATAGAAGGGTGTGTTGATCAGGTGAGATGCAGTGAAGCAGGACACTCATGTGGAGCTGAAACAGCAGCAGTGGGGCTGTATGCAGTCAAATTCCATATGTCTCCATGTAACAATAATGGAGCATCACAGACATCAGCATCTCAATTGACTTTGAAGCCTTGAAAAATAACTCCAGAAATAGGGGTCAACTTTCAGGACAATTATAAACATGAACCACTTCCATACTTAACATCTTGAAATGTTATAATTATCTGATGCAAGGCATTAGTTACTACATACCCCTGTTATGTAGGTTTTATTTGGGAAGGGGGCATGCAGGGCAGAATATGGCACTTTCCTACCTATCTCTGAACTCAGCCCATAATACAGGTAGTGGGCATGTACCAAAATTGGCAATTCACCTCTGTATTCACGTGGATTATTAAGAATCAACCCCATGCTGTCCCTACACTGGGAGTACTGGATGAGGACAGCGTAGAGGTTACTTCACATTCACTTTAACAGAGTAGAGGGAGCTTTACTCTGTATCTAACCCAATGCTATACCTGTCCTGGGAGGGTTTGATGGGGACATTGTGGAGGGAGCTTTACGCTGTATCGGACCCCATGCTGTACCTGACCTGGGAGTCTTTGATAGAGACAATGTGGAGAAAGAGCTTTATTCTGTATCTAACTCCATACCATACCTGCCTTGGGAGTGTCTGATGGTGACAGTAAAAAGAGAACTTTACTCTGTATCTAACCTCGTGCTGCATCTGTCTTGGGAGTGTTTGATGGTGACAGGGTTGAGGGAGTTTTACTAACTATCCCCGATCTGATTGTGCTTGCATTTATTACATAGTTTCCAAACAGTCTACACTCCTTCCAGATTAGGAGGGTGTTGAATTATGACATTGAGTTACATTCAATACTGCTGTGCTTTAATGATTTCCTTACTTAGTGGAGAGAATGTGCTGAGCCCCAAACCTTAGTAATGAGATCAGTGAGAGGATTTCCGGAGATAGGGCGATGATTTCATTGTTAATTTACTGATTGAATTGGCTCAGCTTTTGTATTACACAATACTTCTTAAATGCTCACTTGAATGAATGCCAGGTCCATAGGAAGTTGTTTTCGGCAACTACTGTTAGATGTCTCTTCCCCAATCTCAGCCCAATTGGAATGTGGAGGAGGAGTGGGGGTGGGGTGGGGAGGGAGACTGCTGTCTCCCTGACTGGGTGTCTGAACACTGAAGCTGTAATATCACCCCCGGTGGTATCCAAAAGACAGCCCCAACATGTTGGGCACCACAGGTCAGAATGTGCCATTTGCCCGAGAAGATGTACAATGCAGATTCAAGAGAATGGCATCAGGGCATCTAGTGTTAAGTTATATGGACAAATTATTCCAATTTGGCTGGCATTTCCTCAAACGTAAAAGAATGAGGGAATCATGATTAATAAAGTAAAAGGTTTTGACACATCGGAACAAGTTCCTCTGATGGATGAATATAGAACATGGGACAAAATTTTAGAATTAGAGTCAGGCAACTTAGGAATGAAATCTGTCTCTGCATTCTTTGGTTTCTTTTGAGATGCTCTCAATCGATTTACTGCCACTAATCCTTCTCTTTTTTTAAATTAGTCTAAGTTACTGATGTGGGGAAGGATGCCCACACAAAGCCTTCAGTAGAAGCACAGCCTCAGGTCTTGTTGAACAGAGTAGGGTTATTACATACTGGATAATAGAATTGCATCTGAGTTGCATGATTTGGAGACAGTAAAGACTGCAGGTGCTGGAAGCTAGAATCGATAGGTGTGAAGCTGGAAAAGTACAGCAGGTCAGAAAGCATCCGAGGAGCAGGTAAGTCAATGTTTCAGGCTAAAACCCTTCATCAGGACTGGGAAGGGGGAAGGAAGCCTAATTACCCCACGTTAGATCAAATCTGCCATTGCAGTGTTGACAAGCATCGCAAAGTTCGGATAAATGTTTTCAGGTGAGATATTGAAGATTGGGGAGAGAAGGAAATGTGGAATTAGGATTAGGGGAGGGAAGATTGGGAGACTTGGAAAATAATTCAGGGATTGGAATATGTGTGGAGTTGTGGAGTGCAGGGAGACTGGAGAACAGCGATTGGGGGAATCAGGAGCAGAGGGAGACTGGGAATGGGGTAAGAGGGGGAGTCAGGAGGAGAATGAGACTGGCAAAAGGGGGAGAGGGGGAAGCAGGAGAAGGATGAGACTGGGAACAGGGGAGAGGAGGGATCAGGAGTGGAGGGAGACTGGGAATGGGGAGAGGGGGAATCAAGAGCGGTGGGTGTCTGGGAACAGAGGGAGGGGGGCATCAGGAGGACAGTTAGACTGGGAACAGGGGGAGAGGAAGATTGGGAACAGGGGAGATGGGGAAACAGAAGGAGAAGGAGGGAATCAGGGGCAGAGGGAGACTGGGAACAGAAAGACAGGGGGAATCAGGAAGAAAGGGAAACTAGGAATAAGGGTAGATGGGGAACCAACAGCAGAGGGAGACTGGGACAGGGGGAGAGGGGGAATCAGGAGCACAGTGTGACTGGGAACATGGGGAGAGGGAAAATTAGGAGCGGAGGAAGCAGAGGGAGAATGAGCACAGGCAGATAGCCACAGTAGTCGTCGCCATAGTCCCAAACGACCATAGCGCTGCTCTTGCATTAGAGAGAGAGAGGTAGAGAGAGCCAACTGGTGGTGGTTTAACATAAGGGTCACCACACCTCAGGGTGAGGTCAAGGAGATGGAACCCTCAAGCTCACCTGAACTGGTTCAGGAGTTGAACCCATGCTGTTGGTAACACTCTGTATTACAAACCCACCTGTGAGTCGGTTTGCACAAATAACCCATACTAACCCCTTGGTAGTGCAACACACTCATTGTTAGCCTGGCTAGCAGAACTATTTTCCAAAAGTGACAGCATTGCTTGATTTTTCTTTCTTGTTTTGGGATTGTAAAATCAAATTTGTTTCAATTTATTCATGGTTTATGGCTAGCAAGACCTGTACTTATTGCCTTTCTTTATACAATAGAGTTGTTTCTCAGAGGGCAATCAAGAGTCAATCGCATTGTTGGATCTAAAGTAACATTTCGGTCAGACCAGGCAAAGATGGCAGATTTCTTTTCCCTAGAGATTTGAGTGAAGGAATTGGGTCATAAAACAATCTTGTAATTTTTGGATCTCCATTATTCCAGCCTTTTAAATCCATATTAAATTAATTAACCAGAATTAAATTCCTTGACTGCTGTGATGGGATTTGATCTCACATTTCCAGACCATTAGCCCAGGCTTGAGGGTGATTAGTTCAGTGACATAACGACAGTGTTACCATATTCACATAATTATAGCACTCCTACTGTTGCACAGACTGAGACCTGCTATCGCAGCACAGATTGTGTATTCAACCCAGTCAGGGTCACAATTAAATCTTCTTTCTCTCTGAGTCACAGAGCAGCTGTCCCATTTCAATTCAATCCTCCTGATTTGCTGACTCACTTTTCACAGAAGTGAGTGCATCAAACTGATAGCTGCGCCGGCAATTAAGTGGATAATCTGTAGCACAGTGCATCATGCAGGCACTGTGGAGAGAGAGGAACATCAGGATGGGTGAGTAATGGTTCCAGAAGAGAGCCCCCAGTTACCTTTTTCATCTAATTGGGAGGAAAATCAAATGGAACACACAACAGATCATTTGATTGGTCATTTCTGAGTTAAGAAAACATGGGTCCAAGTCACACTCCAAAAACCTGAGTCCATAATCTGTGCTGACACCCCAGTGCAGTACTGAGTGATTGCTACACTGTCAGGGGGCATGTGAAACTGAGGTACGAAGGAATCCTTTGACAGTTTTTTGAAGAAGTGTGTACTGCCCCCCACTACCCCAGCTCCCCAACCTGGTGCCCTGGCCCAACATTGATCCTTCCACTGACATCATTAAATACAGATTATGAGGTCCTTATCTTGTTACAGTTTGTCGCAGCTTGCTGTGCACTCATTGGCTTCACTGGGGATGTCCTGAGTGAAGATTTACATTTTTGCACGTGCACACTTGTTTTGTTTTGTTTTGACTCCAACTTACCCGTCTCTATCTGCTGCCCAGGGAAATGAAAATATATCCCATTACACAGGGTCATCCCTGGGGCAAATCACATGCTGCGAGACAGTGCCCACCCCCCCACCACTGTTGGTGCAAATCACATTGTGTGAGATGCCCTCTGATGCAAATCACACTGTGTGAGACCCCCTCTGGGACAAATCGTGCTGTGCGAGACCCCCTGTGGTGCAAATCAGACTGTGTGAGACCCTTCTGGTTCAAATAACGCTCTTTGAGACCCCCTCTACTGCAAATCAGACTGTGTGAAACTCCTCCCTCAGGGGTAAATCACATTGTGTGAAACCCCTCTGGTGTAAATCACACTGTGTGAGACACACTGTACAGGGCAAATCACACTGTGTGAGACCTCCTCTGGGGATAATCACACTTTTGGAGACTCCCTTTAGGGGGGTAAGTCTCTGTTGGAGACTCACCTCTGGGGCAAATCATTCTGTGCAGGCAATCCTCTCCCCACCCCACAGCAAATCGCCTTGTGCCTCCTGACCCTAGCGCAGTCCCACTCCTCCCAGCTTTGGCCATTTCCCTCCATGCAACTGCAGCTCCCTGTTGTTGTCTCCCAGTTTGCTGCTGATAGGCTCACTGAGGAGTGAAACAGCTTCAGATTGGCTGAACAACTCCTCGCAGTTTCTGGCCATCCCCTTGATTGGATGCTTCCATGAGTGGCGTATTGGTACTTGATGGGGAAAAATTTAACCTTTGTCCAAGATCATACATTGCTTTCTTTTTGATCCTGTGCAACCATACTTATGAATGCCTGTTGTGTGTTCTGCTTCATGGAGACTTGGCTCATCCCTACCATTCCCAACTGTGCCCTACAAGCTGACGGGTACTCCATACATCTAATTGCCCGCACAGAGTCCTCGGGTAAGGCAAAGGGCAGTGGGGTATGCTTCCTGATCAATATCTCCTTGTACTCAGACGTGGTGACCCTGGCAAGACATTGCTCCCCAGACCTAGAATACCTTACAGTAAAATGCCGTTCCTACCATCTGCTGCGAGAGTTCACCTCTGCCTTCCTGACAGTCTACATACCACCCCATGTCGATGTGAAGAATGCCCTAGACAAAATTTACATCGCCACAAATGCTTTGGAGATGAAATTCCCTGAGGCCTTATTCATCGTGCCCGGCGACTTAACCAAGCCAACCTCAACAGGGTGCTGCCAAAGTACCACCCACTAAAGGACCGAACATCTTGGACTACTGCTACACTATCAAAGACGCCTACCGCTCCATCCCCAGCCACACTTCAGAAAATCAGATCACAGCGCTGTGTTCCTCCTCCCAGCTAACAAGCAGAAGCTGAAACGGGAAAACCCTTCACAAAAAGTAGTGCAATGCTGGTCTGAGGCAGCGGAAGAGCGTCTCTGGGACTGCTTTGAATTGGTGGCCTGGGCCGTGTTCAAGTGTTCAGTGGAAAATCTCAACCAGCATGCCACCACTGTCATGGATTTCATTAGCAAATGTGTGAAGGACTGTGTACCAAAGAAGTGTACCAACCGGAAATCTTGGATGAACCAGGAAATCCGCTTACTACTGAAAACCAGACATGCAGCATTCAGGTCGGACGACCCAGACCTATACAGGAGATCCAGATATGACCTCCGCAAAGCCACCAGGGAGGTCAAGAGGCAGTACCGGACCAAGTTAGAGGCCCAAGCCAACCATACAGACACCCGCCACCTGTGGCAAGGCCTGCACAACATCACGGGATACAAAATGAAGCAGAGCAAGATAGCGGACAAAGACACATCCCTCCTTGATGCACTCAATGTCTTCTTTGCTTGGTTTGCTACTGGCACAATGTCGCCTGCATCGACAGCCCCGGACACACCTGTGGCCTCTGTCACCCCTGCAGATGTCAGATTGGTCTTCCTGGGAGTCAACACAAGGAAAGCAATGGGCCCGGATGGAATCCACGGCCGTGCACTTAGAACCGTGTGGACCAACTGGTGGAGTTTTCACTGACATCTTCAATCTCTCCCTGCTGCAAGCCAAAGTCTCCACCAGCCCCATACCTAAGAAAGCATATGCAAAGTGCCATAATGACTACCACCCAGTGGTTCCGACCTCTATAATAATTAAGTGCTTCGAGAGGCTGGTAATGGCCCACATGAACTCTAGTTTCCCAGCCTGCCTCGATCCCCTACAGTTTGCCTATCAACATAACAGGTCCACAGCAGACGCCATACCCCTAGTCCTGCACTCATCCCTGGAACATCTAGACAAAGGACACCTACATCAGACTCCTGCTCATCAACTACAGCTCCGCGTTCAACACCATTATTCCCTCCAGACTGATCTCAAAACTCCAAGACCTAGGTCTCGGCTCCGCCCTCTGCAAGTGGATCCTAAGCTTCTTGACCCATAGGCTGCAATCAGTGAAGTTAGACAACTGCACTTCCTCCATGTGTCCTCAGCCCCCTACTGTACTCCCTGTACACCCATGACTATTTTGCCAAATTCTGAATGAACACCATCTACAAGTTTGCTGACAACACCACCATCACAGGACGGATATCAAACAACAACGAGTCAGAATACAAAAAGGAAATAGAGGGCTTGGTGATGTTGACAGGGTGGAAAGAATCAAGTTCCCAGCAGTGATGATAACCGACAACCTGTAGTGGAGTTCCAATGTAGATGCAATGGTCAGGATGGCACAACAATGCCTCTTCTTCCTCTTGCAGCTTAGAAGATTTGGCATGTCTACCAGGTCAATCACCAACTTTTACAGATGCACCATAGAAAGCATATTATCCAGGTGCATAACGGCTTGGTATTGCAACTGCTCTGCCCAGGATCGTAAGAAACTACAGAAGGTGGTGTGCACAGGCCAGACCATCACAGAAGCCAACCTCCAATCCATAGACTCTCTGTATACCTGTCATTGCCGTGGAAAGGCTGTCAACATCATCAAAGACTCCTCCCATCCAGGTAATGCTCTCCTACAACCTCTTCTATCAGGCAAAAGATACAGAAGCTTGAAAGCATGCACCAGCAGGTTCAAGGACAGATTCTTCCCTGCCATTATTAGACTGCTGAATGGACTCTCTAACTTCAAATAATGCTGACCTTGCTAATGTCGATCTTGCCTACCACACGTCCTGTGCAATGTAACCCATATGCCTCTGTTTAGTTCTTTTTAACCCTATGATCTGTATGTCCTTGCCTACTATGATCTGCCTGTACTGCTCTTAAAGAAAGCTTTTCACTGTATTTAGGTACATGTGACAATAAATCAATCAATCAATCAGCTTCCAAATTGAAAATACCCACTCAATCAACACCCCTGAGGAAACTCTTACAATTGCTTTGCACCACAGGCACCTCCAGTCCTGTAGTCTCCGGACACTGCCACAGGTTTTATCACAGACGGCGCATCGGGCACTGACAGGCAGGTTCCCCTCCAGCCACTGGTGAGGCATGGCGATCTGCAACAGAGCGGAGCTTGAAGTAAGTTCAAGGCCACACACCATCACACTAGAGTCAGAGATCATCAATCAAATCAGAACACGCCAAACACCCACACATCCCATCGTGTCAATGAACAGTTATTCATAACAAGTGACAGAAACATCATCAGGCTGGAAATGGAAATGGAATAGACTTTAGGCAGTTTTAGTGCAGCCCAATGCTTCAGACTCTCCAATCTCCCAGAGCTAAGTGTTCCATTGATATTACTGTTATTGACATTTCAGCCCCATGCACACACCATCTTTAATGTTTACTGCTTTTGAAATTCAATGTCACCTGGACGTTTCTATGTTCTAAGAGGAATTCGTCTTCTGATCCTGGATAGTGTTCAGCCTCCATTTGAGATGCTGGTACACCTCTCAACAATGATGCTATACTTGTATAGCTTGTATGGTCATATCAGAGTTGGGAGGGCAAGGGAAGTAGGGAACCACTGAGTGTTAACACTGGGACATCAGTGGTCATAGTAAGTAAATGGAACCCATCAGAGGGACTGCATGCAAATGATGTGATCCTCTTGATTTCAATGCTGTGAGAATCACAGAGTCCCTGCAGTGCAGAAAGAGACCATTTGGCCCACTGAGTCTGCACCAACCCTCCAAGGACACCAACCCTCCTACCCTATCTCCATCCCTGCATTTCCCATGGCTAACCCAACTAGCCTGCACATTCTTGGATGCTGTGAGCAATTTAGCATGGCCAATCCACCTAACCTGCACATCTTTGGACTGTGGGAGGGAAAAAGAGCATCCGATGGAAACTCAAGAAGTCACAGGGAGAATGTAGAAACTCCACACCCAAGGCTGGAATTGAACCTGGCTCACTGGCACTGTTAGGCAGTGGTGCTAGCCTCTGTGCCACCCCCATGAGAGTGAAGGGAGGGGGACGAGTACATTGATGAGCTGGTGATGAAGAAGATTGGTCCCTGAAGATTCCTTTCTCAATGACCAAAGAATAGACAGAGAAAGGAACAATGTGAGAGAGGGATCACCAATCAGATGTGGTGCATTCGATATTGCCACGTCATTTTTGTTCAAAAATTATACATAATTTTGAAATTATGAATCAATTTAATAAGTAGTCCTTCCGCCTCATATATTCTACTTTTTAAACTCTAATGATGAAACTCAATGGATGTCACCATTGTACTTACCCCGTCCTCATCTTCAATGATATCACTTCCTACAGAGGCCAGTGTGGTCCATTTGCAGTTGTTGATTGCTCTAACAGCACATCGTTTGTGAGCTTTAAATTTACACACTGTCAATTTAAAAACAATGGTTCAGTGATTGTGTTGTCTTTTGCAGCAGACTTGCCATATGCTAAGCCTAAAAGTTCCCATTCAAGAAGGCCATGTCCAGAAACCCCACATACTCTGAGGCCATGCGATATGTCAGGCAGGATTAAACTGATTTATATACAGAATTCCCAGCCTGTGCAGTACCTCACCAATATAAGTAGCCTTGATGGACAACCTTGACACTACAACAACAACTGACCTTTATATAGTGCCTTGAATGCAATGGAATTGTCCAAGTCACTTCATGGGATAATTTTAGCACAAATTTTGACACCAGGTTGCATAAGAAGATATTAAAGCAGATGGGCATAAGTATCATAGGCTGAGATAACAAGGTGTAGAGCTGGATGAACACAGCAGGCCAAGCAGCATCAGAGGAGCAGGAAAGCTGA